AAAGTCAGATAAATAGGCTGGAGAGCTTGATGGGATGAAAGTGAGCCAGGTCTCCGAGGCACAAGCGGCACAGGCAGTCTCTAATATTGGGTCATCGCCGACGTTCCTGAAACCATGGAGATTCCAGAAGATGATCTCGGCGGGATGTCCTTGGTCAGTGATTGGGCACGGATGGCTCCTGGAACCAGATGGGTCTGCGCGATGTGACCTGAAACAGCACCATTAGTAGGGGTAGCTTTAGGTAGGATAGACCTGGATGAGCTGACTAGCTGTCATTTGGATTTATCCCAGATAAACGTAACTCCATCAGCCACCTGGCTATGGTACCTGACTTTGACAGAGAGAATCTTTTGTTTGGTGTCCCAAGAATCAAGAGTGATAGTTATAATGCCGGACTTCTGGTTGGGAAAACGACGATAACGAACATCAATAATCGTACCCGGTGTTTGAAGAGTAGACGATATAAATTGGTACGTGTCTCTTGAAATGCGTTTCTAGGGTTGAGCTCAAGTCCTCTGATCACTATGTTGTTACGTTTGATGGTCTGCTGAATCACCTCCAAATTTGCGCTGAGGGAGTCATTGGCAGGAGGAGGAGGTAGGGAGGACTTGGGCTTGAGTTCCTCGACATCCTTTTTCAAGTCAATTAATGTGGCAGTTGTTTCCGCGGAAACAGCAATCTCTCCTGCATCCAGCCTATGCCCAAATTCAACGACCATCTTCCTCAAGGATGGAATACTTGCATCGGATTCGGCCTTATGGCGATTGACTACATTTCTGAGGCTGTCCACATTTTCATCCACCTTATCGATCTTTGTGCTGATCTCGGAAATTTTTGTCATGGTGCCTTCGCAGTGGGAATCGTTGCTCTCTTGCATTTTCACCAGTTTGTCGTTGAGTCCGCACATAAGTTCCTTGAGGTCATCCATGACGATAGGTGAAGAGGAGTTTTCCTCTATCGTAGGCTTGCTGCGGGAGGTAGATGGCAGGGGTTTCAGGCTATGGGGAAAGGGTTAAACAGAGTCGGCTATTTTTCAATGCCTAAAGGAGGTTAGGCGGTGTTTGAGGTGAATTTGAGAGTGAATTTCTGTGGTTCTCGGTAGCTTAGTCGGTAAGAGTGCCCGGCGCGTATCTGGGAGATCCGGGTTAGATTCTCGGCTGGGTGAAGCGGAAATTTTCTCTCTCTAAATTCTAATTCTCTTAGAATTTCTTTTTTTTTATTTTTTATAGGAAGGGATGGAGGGCAGGACTCTGTGGGCAGAGTAGGGTGATCAGGGGATAGGGAGGAAGGCAAAGCAGAAGTGAGAAACAGAAGAGATACGGGGGAGGGAGTGGGTGGTCACATCTGTTGAACTTGGGGGGTGGTAGGTCAGTTTCTTGGACGCTTGAATCACTTTGAGGCTCAGAATCATCAAATTTTTTACTTCTTCCTTTTCTCAAAATGTCTGTGGAGGGAGGATTCTTGACTGCGGTACATGTGGGAGACCGCTGTCGGGCGCCTGCCAGACGATTTTGGGGTGTTGGAAGTAGTGAGTCTTCGGGTTCGTCGAGTCTTAGGGGAAGCTGGAGTGACGGGAACTGCTGAATCGGCCGGTACTCTGAGTACATTCTCATGGAATAAGCCGCTGGATATCACCCACAGATGGAACTAGTTGTCTTGACTGCAGAGCTGCCGAGACTGAGAACGAGGAGGTATACCCTCACCTCACCACCCGAACTGAGCCGCTTAACCTCCAAATTTGATGGGCAGAGAATGCAAGAGAAATTACTTGGAGATACCTGATAAAAAAGTGTAATCTAATACCTCAGCATGCAGCCAGATGGGTCCAGAATCAGAGAGAACAGGAAACAGCGGAAGAGGATTTGTGAAAGTTCACAAAAATTACGAAAAAATAAGCAGAAAGTAACGGTCAACTTGTTAAAATGAGCATTCGCAGCGCCCCCCCAGAGAGAGACAGGGAGGGGAGAGAGAGAGGGAGAGAGAGAGGGAGAGAGAGAGGGACAGAGAGAGGGAGAGAGAGGGAGGGAGAGAGGGAGAGAGAGGGAGGGAGAGGGAGAGAGACGGAGAGAGAGAGATTTCTTTTATTTGTTCTTGGTAGTTTTCTCATAATTCCCCTTCCCACCTCATCACGAGAAAATTTCCCTTACAATTTTTCTACATAGTTGAATCGGTCATGAATTAAAAATAAATTAAAACCGCACTTCATAAGATATTCTTCAAAGTTCCAAATCACTCCATTACGTAGTATGTCCTTTGACCGCTCACGTCTTTGGTCATAACAGTTATTGAATGAATGGAAACCGTGGATGGGAAGATTCTAAAATTGTCAAAGTCATTCCACGGTTAATTTCTAATCTAGGGTCAAATCCTTATATAGCTGAGATGTCAAGGGCCTTCTGGACAATATTATGACAACCTTGTGATCAACTCTCAGCATAGTCGTGGTCCCAAATTTTTCAATTTGATTGCCGAAGAAGTTGTCAACGTTGTTAAATAAATGTGAAGGCGGGTAGGGGTGGGAATATAACACCTTAAAAAAACAAAAGCAAATGATTCTGTAAAAAAACTACGCCAATTAAAAATTTTATTTGATTCTTAGCGGCAAGTAGAAATTTTTGAAACTCAGAAACAAATGAAAAAGAAACCTAAGTCGGGAATGTCGAATGAATAGTCATAGTTCACCATCAGATTTCTATGAGAAAAATAGTTTTAAATCGGATAAGAATTTTCAAAAATTCTATATGAAATAAAAAATTAGTAAACGGAGGATCTTGGAGCGGATGAGGAAATGGAGGATTATATCCTACTGCGATCGTACAGTTGACAAACTCTGCGGTAAGAACGTTGGTCATCCGGATAGTAATTTTTTATGTCGTAAGGAATTTGGACAAAAAAAAATAGAAAATAACCTCCGCGCCACGAATACGTGTTCTCCTTCTACTATTTTATTATTTCATGGAGAATTTTTCAAAATCCTTCTTCGATTCGAAACTATTTTTCTTATAAAAATCGGATTGTGCACTATGACTATTCATTTGATATTCTTGACTTGGCTTTTTTCATTTCTTTGTATTTAAAAAAAAATTTACTTCCCACTAAGAATCAAACAAAACTTTTTCTTGGCACAGTTTTTCTTACCAAAACGTTCGTTTTTGTTTTTTGAGCGAGATTTCATTTTTTTTTCAAAATAAGCCAGGAATCGTTTTTATATCCTGTAGATGTTTCAATTTTCCATCCAATCCAATTCATTTACTTTTCACATGATAGAACATCTTTCCAATTAAAAATCGAAATAGACCAAACAGTTCTACTCCAGATTCATCATTTCCACCGACTTTTAATTATTTATTCAATATTTCCCTTCTTCGTTTGTTTCTTCCATTGAATTTTTCTTTGATTTTCCATGTGAATTGCATTCTTTTGAAATGCATTGATTTCCTTTCAGAAACAGCTGAACAAAATTTCTACGTGATCGAAGTTTTTATAAACATATCTATTATTATACCAAACATAAATCATAACCTCACAAATTAAATATATCTCCGAGATACAAATAGATATATGCCCAGAAAAAATTGCAATTTTCGGCGACAAAATGGAGATAAAACGCAGTATTGGGTTTTAGTGTTAATCTAATAAATCATTCCAAAAATGGGAAAATATTTCCCGTGATTCTGCATAACATGAGCACCTAAGTTTTGCATGCATCCATGGCAACACTTCGACGTTAAATAAGAGGTTCAGATGAGCGCTGCTAACGTTGTAACTTGATTAGAACGCTTTACAACCTGAATTACGAGAATATGAATATTAACCCGTTCCTATGCGCGTATCTCCTTCATTGTTAGTCGAAATTATATTACGTTCGCCCCACTAAAAAGCTCATGGATAATTCATATGATCCCACTCAGGACAGCTTCTCGATTCATCTTCTCGGTCTCATGATATTAAATAGAGATTCATTAGAGGCAGTGGAAGGGGAAGCTCCGTGGTGTATAGATACACGGTACGCTTGACTTGATGATTTGTACAGTCGAAGTCAAAACTTTTCTTGGTCGATACGCTGCCGCGTATCTCAATTGTCAAAGTTATCATAAAGTTAACTTCCCGGCTAAGGGAGAAGCCATGGCTTCTCTGAATAATGCTATGATAACCCTTGAATCAATTCTCGGCACACTCTGGATCCCAAAGATGTCAATTTGATCCCTCAACAAGTTGCAAATACTGTTCAACAAATGGAAGTCGGGAAAAGGTGGATTATAATATCGTCAATGTGACTCTAGAGCAGGGCTAGCCATATTCATAAATTCTAAGTACCGTTAAATTTTGAAGTCGCCAATTCGTTAATATTACACTTAAATTTCCAATTATGCATGTAATCATCAACTTGAATATCCGAATACCGAACTATTTCATTAATCAATAATATAGTTAGGAAGATTGAAGATTATTTGATTAGTCAAAAATCCCTTTTATGTAATTTAGTATTATTTCCTTAATAGAACATTTTGAGTATCAATTATGTTACTATTTTGAAATTTCGATGAGTATATTCAAACTTAAATCAATATAGGTCGGGAATTCTTCTAATATTGATGAATAGAAAGATTGATGGTCGTCCCTGTTCTAGGGTCAAATTTCCGTCTTGAGAAGGTGGTCAATGGTCATTTAAATAATGTAATAACAATTTTGGGATTAACTCTCGACACAGCCTACATTCCAGAGTTTTCAATTCGATTGTTGAACAGATCGTCCGACATTCGGCACCTAACCTTAACTGCGGGTTTCCGTTAACTAAGTCTGTGTTTGTGGAAAAATCACAGAGTTCCAACTGTGGTGTGAATCATTAGGGATGATCTATCAAAAACGTACCGTAAGAATTTTTCCTAAAATCACTCATCACTTTTAAGATAAATCCGTAACGAGGATAAATGTCAGACTCGACTGATATGCAACGGGATCCACCATTATGAATCACCTTGAAGAATTTATAATTTCAGGACCTCCCTACATTCGTTCAATAGGCCCTGTTCGAGCAATTGCTGGGGTAGATACCACGATCGCATGCCCTTACTCTGGTTACCCAATAACATCAGTGAAATGGTCAAGAGGTGGCATGGAACTACCATTAGACATGCGTCATCGTGTTGATAATGAGGGCTATCTGACAATCACTACTGTCGATCCAGATGATGCAGGAACCTACACGTGCACTGTGAGGGCCAGTACCGGAGAAACTGCCAGTCGAGACATAAAACTCACAGTCAGCAGTGAGTGGCACTCAGGCATTAAAATTTTTTTTCTTATTTTCTCTTTAACAGGTATTGGGTGGAGGTCCGAAAATACCAAGAAAATCCTGAAAAAATTAAGGTTTATATTCTAGGTTTTGAATATTTCGAATTAATCCAGGAAGTTTCAAATATCTGATGAACACCGTTTATGAAATAATTCAATAGTAATGTTTGATCATCAATAAAATCAACGGAATAAAGATGCGTTTTTTAGATACGAAATTTTATGAAATTTCTTACGTTTCTCGAAGTGTTCAACTAAAGTTTTCGGTGAATTGCACCAGGTATGAATCTGTTCAGATGAGGATGTCATAAAGATACAGCACTTTGATATTGCATTTGTCATAAAAATTTATGTAAGGGGCTGTCTATATATTACGTAAGATGATTCCTAGCCATTTTTGACCGCGTGTGTGTGGTTTCTGCCATGGGGAAAAATGCAATTTACGCATAGAGTGCAAGGGTCGGTCAGTTTATTCGGTGGCAACAGACCACTAGCCGCTAGGAGTTCTGGTTCAATTGGCTCGGGTAGAATACTCGTGACCACAACCGACTAAAAAACTGACCCCTCTAAACCTGGCCTTTGGAAATCGCCCGTGGGACCGCCGCTTAGCATTGCTTCGTAAGGGGCAGATATCAGCTGTAGTTCTTCCTTTGTCTGAGGAGTCTCCCGTACTCTCCCATCCTCACCTAGATGAAGTGGGCGAGTTTTGGTTCTTTCCTTCCTTCTCCTTTTCGCACCTCTCCTCTTCGTCGTGACGAAGGACTTTGGGGACTTCTTTCGCAAAGGTTCTCGTTGTCTCCCACACTGTCTCTGATGAAAGCATTACCTCTGTGGGTGCTTTAACTTGTCGGCCCAGTAGGAAATGCTATACATGAGAACCGATGTGACGTCGTATGACAGGAGCGCTTTCCTCTTCTGTTTCGAGCCACATACGTTGCGCATAAGTCGTGATAGGAGCGCCCCGACTGCAGAGGCCTTCTTACCAGCATGGTCCCCTTGCTGCTTGAAACTAAGGCGTGAGTCAATCATTACTCCTAAATACCGACTGAACGTCTGGGAAGTGATTACATGCTCGCCGGATCGCAGGGTGATGGTCTCGAGCTTTTTCCCGCTGATGATCAACACCACGTCCGTCTTCTGTTCCACAAGACCAACTGAGTCTATTCACTGAAGAATCTTCGTGAATACCACGTCGAAGAGATTGTCGATGTCCTCTAGGTATTTCGCAGCGATGACGAGCGCGGCATCATCAGCGAAAGCTACCGGCGTCACTGATTTTGGCAGCACGAGTTTGAGAAGCCCATCATACATGATATTCCAAAGGAGAGGCCCAAGTACTGAGTCATCAGGCACTCCCCACGTTACCCGATGCTTGTGAGGGCCTTTCTCTGTATCGTACTTCAGGACACTGTCGGTGAAGTAGTCGCCAACCATTCTCGATAGATATCCTGGGATATTCCTCTCTGTTGAGGCTACCATGATGCGGTCCCACCTGGAAGAATTGAAAGCGTGTTTAATGTCCAGCGTTGCCACCAGATAGTACTGATTGTCTCTGCCTTCCATCTTTCGCCAGCAATCGTGTTCCGCGCGATTCTGACCACAAAGTCAATGGCGTCGATCGTCGAGGGCCGTTGTGGAAACCGAACTGCTTGTCTGATGGTTCTTTCAGATATGTCCTCGATCCTGCCGTGCATAATCTGTGCCAAAAATTTTCCGGCCGTGTCAAGCAGGCAGAGCGGACGATAGGATGATGTTTCGTCAGACGGTTTTTTCCCCTTAGGGAGAAGCACCAACTCTTGCTGTTTCCACTTTGCAGCGGAGAGACCCTTCTGAAGACACGTGTTGTACATGTGCAGAAACATTTCTGCCACTGCATTGATCGCTGTTTTAAGTGCGACGTTGGGGATCCCGTCCTACCCTGGGGTCTTCGTGTTTTCCACTTTCGCGTATGCTGTTTTCAATTCCTTGGCTGTCCCAAACTGAACAGCTTCCTTCGTATCTTGCTCAATCTGATGATCACTGTCGGGTTGCTGCGGGAACAGCTCCGTAATGATCTTGCCCAATAACTGTGGACATGTGATCGGAGGCATGAGTTGAATCTTCAGCCGGCATGGGCCGATTCCTCACGGATCATATTCGATTTCTTCCAGAAGCTCATCCCAGCTTTGGTCCTGGTTCTACTTGATGGCCTTGACTAACCGCCGCGGTGCTATCTTGTGATTCGCCTCCAATTCTTTGAAGTTTGGCTTCTTTCTGCCACGCTGGTTCAGCCTCCCCGTCCGGATGCACTCCTTACGGAGAGAGGCCACAATGTCATTCCACCAACATATTGGCGGACGCCGGTCGATGCATCGATTCCGGGGCATAGTGGAGTCACAAACCCTGGTAACCCATCGCATCACCGCATATACGATTTCTGTCACGCTGCCCTTTCCAATCGATTTGTCATCCAGAGCTTCTCGAAATAGCTCTGTGTCAAAAATATTGGTCTTCCATCCAAGGAAGATTGTTTTCTTCCGTACCGATTCAGTAGAAAATGAACCGATGATCGCTGTAGTTATAGGGATGGGTCACCGTCCAGAAATTTTTCACTCTCCTTAGACTGCCGCTAATGAATGTGAGGTCTGCGATGAAGTTGTTCTCACTCTTCACATGGGATGGTTTTCTCCCGCTGTTTAATAGAACAGTATCCAAACAAGACATCGTCTCAGGCAGGGCTCGAATCCTTGCATTAATCTTCTTGCCTCCCTCACTCCATTGCACAGGCGTCGAATGCTCCCGCGGCAGCGACGAGAAAGTGCTTCTTCGCGTCCTTGAGACAGTACATCTAGTCCATCAGTCTTCCAGTCCATCGAGGCAATCGGTGAACTCATCGAGAGTCAAATCAGGCGGAGTATACCAGGTATGTTTTTGTAAAAAAACTGGGCCAAGAAAAAGTTTTGTTTGATTCCTACTGGGAAATCGAAGTTTTTGAAAAATACATAGAAATAAAAAAGGAAGCCAAGTTAGGAATTTCGAATAAATGGAGATAGTGCCCATTCAGGTTTCTTTAAGAAAAATAGTTCTCAATGGAATAAGTATTCTGAAAAAATTCTCCATGAAATAAAAAATCAGTAGGAGCAGGACCAACGTCCTTAGCGCGGATCAAAGAATGGAGGAATAGATTGATACAGACAGTGAATTGAAAAAGTCCGCGCCAAGAACGTTGGTCCTGCTCCTACTGATTTTTTATTTCATGGAGAATTTTTTTAGAATACTTATTCCATCGAGAACTATTTTTCTTATAGAAACCTCAATGTGCACTATCACCATTTATTCAAAATTCCTAACTTGGCTTCCTTTTTTATTTATATGTATTTTTCAAAAACTTCGACTTTCCAGTAGGAATCAAACAACACTTTTTCTTGGCCCAGTTTGTTTACAAAAACATTTGTTCTTGTGTTTTTAGACAGATTTCATTATTTTTTTCAAAATAAGCAAGGACTGTTTTTACATCCGGTGAAATTTGTTCTTTTCAATTCAATTTAACTGATTCATTGTTCATAACATTTTTTGAATCAACATTTGATGGGAAATAAACAGATTCCAGATTTATTCTCTCCACCGAATTTCCAATTTTAATCATCTATTAATAATTTTCTGACTTGATTTGGTTCCTCGTTCAATTTTTGCTCTGATGATTCCTATATGGGTTGTATTTTGTGGAGGGACGAATTGATTTCCTTATAGAAATAGTCGAACAAAATGTTCACAAAAAATTCTTCTTGAAAACATCTGTTTTTTTTTGTTTTTAAAAATAGTAGGGAAACATTAGGTGGAATGGACTCTTCTGACTTCTTGTTTCAATATTTATAACCAAGGAATTTATCGATTGAGCTCAGTCTAAGCTTATTACAAAGGGGCTGACTGTACTTCAATTTTTAAAAAAAAATCTATTTCGTCAACACTTCAATAAGACATCAACATAATGGAAAGGGTTCAAAGTGTCCATTTAATCCCACCGTCTCCTACTAATTTTTCCTAAATAATCACAAAATTGTTCGCATTTCACTGTCACTTAATTTAGTGAATTTTTTTCCACGGAATGAAAACATTTTCTGTTACACTCGGAGAAAAATAAATATTTTCTTTTCGAATTTAACTATTCACGGACATTTAATACTTGATCACACACTATTTTCGACACATCTCTCTTTTGTCACATTCCAAACATAAACCGATAACCTCACAAAGAGTGCATGAACTACCTTTATGTCCGAGGTCCGCATATGAATATAGATATGGCGGGATGAAATTCGAATTTTCGACGAGAGAAAACAAAATAGAACACCGAGTCGATTTTCCCTTTCATTCTAATAAGTGATTTAACGTGAAGAAGAACATTTTCTGTGGTTCTCCATAACAACATCACAACCCACATTCAAACGAACTGGTGGCAATACTTCAACGTTGGATATGAAGCTCAGTTAGACCGGCGCTGCCAACGTTACAATTTGATTCTCACACTTTATAATGTGAATCGCGAGAATGTGAATATCAACTCGTTGCGCTTATCTTTTTTACTGTTAATCCAAAAAATACCATAGTTACATCGTTGAAAAGCTCATAGGCGATTTATATAATGTAACTAACGACACTTTCCCGATTTGTCGTCCGGTTTTCATTATACCGAATGTAAATCATTTAGAGGTAGTGGAGGGGGAAGTTCTGTCGTGTATAGTTACGCGGTACTCTCGACCTGATGTTTTGCTCAGTCGGTCAAACCTGATGTTTTGCTCAGTCGGTTAAAACTTTTCTTGGCCGATACGCTACCGCCTATCTCGATAGAAGTGGATGTTCTTCAGCTTAGCTCTCACGAAGCCCTTCTCAGTTCTATCAACGACGTCCTGGAACCAGAAATTACTGCAAGACCAGATGACCGCTTTTTTCGTTAGATCTGAGACCCAAGGTTGCGTACAGAGTTTTCTGTATGTGT